CAGATTACTCAAGCCGATAGCATACACACATAGATTGAACACTTACGTTTATCCATTTCGATGAAATTAAAAAGAAACCTTTCAAAACTGTAAATTTAAATTCTTATAAGTTTAATTTATATAACAGTAATAATGAATTCAAATATTTACAAAAATACAACCAACCAATCCAAACAACAACGGTCGTGTACAAAGACTATGTCACTAATTATAAATTCAGAGTGACTTAATAAAACGATGATATAGTGTACTACTCTGTGGTAGAAAAGCTCTGTGGGTTTGGTCAATTTTGACATTGTCATTGTCATTTTATTATTTCGAATGTCACTCAAAAGTCAAAAGTCAATGTTAAGTTAGAATCAGAACCTGCTATTTCTTTTTCGTTACTATCCAATGTATTACAAAGCTAGCGAAAGAAGAAAAACTGGAGATAACCCTTGAAATTCAGGAAATGCGAGCCTCCACTTAATATAAATTAGTTCAATACAAAACAGGGTAGCGCCGACAAACCAAATTTATTTATTAAAATCACGGTTTACATTTACGTTTAGAATATAATTAGAACATTTAATAAACAATAAAATATATATTTGTTACAAGAAAATATAAATCCCTAAAATGAATAAAGAAAAAAAAGAACCAGACTATCCAGTTGAATTAGAAAGTCAATTTATCATGAGATTTCCTGACGAACCAGCTAAATCATTGAAAGAATTGATAAAATCTGGCGAGAATTTTAAAAATAGACTTTCTATTAGTCTAGAAAATGACATGAGACATGGGGAGGTACGTTTTGATCATTGGCTATTACATGCTAAAATTGTGGATTTGCCAACCATAACAGAGTCACTAAAAACAATTGATAGAAAAAGTGTTTATAAAACTGCAAATATATGTCAAATAATGATATGTAAAGAAGAAATTGACAATACAAGTGAAGAAGAGTTACCCAACAAAAGTAAGAAAAAGGATCCATTTAAAGTTGACAAAAAGTTTCTTTGGCCACATGGTATTACTCCACCAACAAAAAACATCAGAAGAAGACGTTTTAGAAAAACTTTAAAAAAAAAGTGTGCAGAAGCTCCAGAAATTGAAAAAGAAGTTAAGAGGCTTCTAAGAGCAGATAATGAAGCTGTTAGTGTAACATGGGAAGTTATAAAGGAAGAAAATGACAGTTCAAAGAATGAAAGTGCATTATCAAATAAACCTAAGCCAAAGAAAAACCCAATTGCAAAAGCAGGACAAAACTCAAATAACCAGTCTAATTTCGAAGAAATATTTGGTGGGACAGTAAGTGATAGTGATGCAGAAGATGATACTATTGATAAAGAAGACAGCAGAATGTCAGCATGTGACGATCAGATGTCAGACTCGAATTCTGTTCAAGGATCTGAATACAAAGGAAAACAAGTAGTAACTCAATTCAAGTCTGAAATGTTTAGCTCCCTGGAAATGGCTAGCAATATAGCCACACCAGTAATAAATAAAAACACTACAGTGGCTTCAGTCAGTGGTAATATGAATCAGCACCAACATTTTAGTGATAGTCCTACTCAAAATGTGAAAGTGCAACAACTCACAGCTGAACTCGAAGAACTTAAGCTGAGAAAACATAGAACACAACTAGAAATTTCAGGTCTTCAAAATATGGCCTTAAGACAGAGGTTTCAAGACATTTTACATACACTTAATAATGAAATTCAGTTGAAAAAAATTGAGATTAAAAATTGTGAAAAATGATATCTTAAACATTGCATAAGCATTATCTAAGTGTTACCTCACATGATGTTCGGAAAGAAAAGTGATAACTGAAGCATCCTAAATTTGAAATTTCAACTACATTCAGGATCTGTTTCAAAAGTGTTTAATATAAAGAGCTTGCTGAATTTCTGCATGTGCTGGAAAAAGTAATGTTTAAACACTTTCACCTCCAGTGAAGCTTCATAATTATGTATCCTGCCTACTATTAAAATAATTTAATTATCAATCAAAAAAATACAAAAGTAGATGTTTGTTTGTATGTGACAATAATTATTTAAAGACATTTTTTAAATTCAAATTGTAAAGCTGATGTGTGATATATTTATAATTAATATAATGATGATCTCATGACAAATATTTGTATTTTCATTTAAAATTCCATATGTGAACACAACTTTAGAAAACCTCTTGTTATATACATTGTACATGACATACCAGTGGTATTCCAGTTACACAAACATTGCCTTACACCTCATGGATTTGGGTTTCATCCACTCTTATATACAAGGCTCTATCCATGTTGTGACTAAATAAGGATGTGCTTTACCTGTACCATATCTCTGACTATTGTATAATGTTGATTAGGCCACTGTTACAACCTTAGATTACAATTATTACTGACACTTTCGTTTTAAGGTATTTAAGACCTTTGAATGTATGCAAACCCCACTGTACCTTTGTATATAACAGAATGAACTGTACTGAAACTAATTAATCTTTAGTTAATTTGTTCCAACTTAAAACATTGATAGTAATCTACATTCATGATTTAATGCCACCTTTGCGCTTCGTTTGGCGTAAGTAGTGTCAGGTTAACATATGACAATTTTTGTAGCTTAGTAACGCATGACAAACAAATACAAAACGGTCCCAAGACTCGATTTACAAACTACTGCAAGGTAAATCCTACAAATATTATAAAATGGCTACTCTCTTAGATAAAGCAACCGAAATTGTCGACAAAATTATAACACAATCCAATGAAGATACTTCGCGAACAATATTTGCAGTTGGTAGTAAATCAGCGGTAAGTAAAGTTAACCTCTTTTAGTAGTCATACGGAGTCTCTTCTGTAGTAACATATATATTACAACTACACCCCTTTCCTTCTTTTTCTGAAATAAAAGTATCGATATTCTTATTAATGTGCGTACTGACCGACGCTTTACTTTTTGATGTAATATGTACATAGGTAATATGTTATACTTACACGGCGAGCATACATGCAGTCAGTACGTAGTGTTACAGGGAAACCAGCAAGCAACGGGCAGCTCTATAGAATTGTTACGCGTCGTAACATTAACACACATTAATGTTTTGCGACGAAAACATGATATCTACTATAAAAATGTGTTTTTAAAACGTAAAAAAAATGCCGATATAAGTTTTGCATTTTATTAACTTTGTTTTAGGGTAAATCAACTCTTATTTCTAACTTTCTTGAAAAAAATGAAGCACCTCGTGAGACTCTTGTGTTAGAATATTCATTCGGTAGAAAATCTGGTCAAAAACAAGGGTTGGAGAAGATAATATGCCATGTTTGGGAGTATGGCGGTAAACTGGAATTATTGAAGAACGTTTTAACCTCTGTCCCTTTGCACAGTAAAAGCTACTTTATAGTAATGATAGATTTAAGCAAAATTAAGACTATTTGGAATACAATTGAGACGTGTGTCAATTGTTTAAAACCTTATGTTGAAAAAAGCAGTTCAAAGGATTTACTATTGATAGGCGGAAAATATGACTTATTTAACAATTATGGTGAGAGAAATAACAATTATATATTTAGCTCTAAGTATGTACTTATGCCATTCATGTTATTCTAGTTATTAACCAATATCGTAAGCACTTGGCAACTAAATGTCATAATACAATCTATATATTTTAAATTCATTTGTTAATTAAAATTTGCTGTTTACAGATAGTGAAATAAAAAAAATAATTTGCTCAACTCTAAGATGTGTGGCGTTAATAAACGACGCCCATTTAATATTCTATTCGTCAAAAGAGCCACAGCTAATGCGCAGAGTCAAGGAAATGTTACACAACGCAGCATTCGGAAACGGTGTAGTGATAAAAGAAAAAAATGTAAACCTCAACAAACCACTAATAATACCGAAGGGGTTTGATTCCTGGGAAAGTATCGGGATCCCCAAATCTACGATGGATCAGGCTAGTATGAAACATTAATGACAACGATAATGTATATAAATATTATTTAACATTTTAGTATTCATTTTAATAGGTGATATTAACTGTTTCTGTCTTAGTAAAGTAACAGAAAAATTCCAAGGTACGATTTTAACGTACCATATTAGTTATTGGTTGCTTCTTAGGGTTGTTGTAATTTATTCATGTTAGTTCTTAGTTATCTATACTTCAAACCACATATTTAACGGCTATCACTCGCGTTTTTTTCTTTCCGGTGACGGAACCGACTAGTTTCGAACCCATTGAGGGTCCATCTTCAGGGCGAGTATTATTGGGCTTTCTCCGGTGTAGCGTCGGGTAGCGTAGTAAAATAGACGTGAATGATAGCCGTTAATAATTAATTATAATAATGTCTCACTAAAGTTAATTTAATATACATTCAGGTGAAAATGCGACACGTGGCAAGAATACCACTGGAAGTCGAAGCTAAAGAGATTACAAATTTTGAATTACAACGCTCTCACCCTGAACCGATTTTGGACTCGCTTGCTGCTTTGAAATATGAAGATATCCGTAACATGGAATTGTTTGATCCCTCTATTAACGATTATTTGATGTGTTTGTAATAAACTGTTGTTGGTGTTCTGTATTTTTATTTTTTACGATCAATCGTGTCTCATTTTGTTTTATAAAACAATTTGTCGAAAATCATCCATTACTATGAACCTTAAACTGAATGATTAGGTCTTTGTGTATTCGGGACTTAATAAATAAGAACCACTAGGTCAACAAGAAGTGTTAGTGCTCTAAGACAGATAATGCATGGACTAGGTATAAACTGCCTGTAACATTTTACATTATACGAGTAGGTGACAGTGAACACGCTGGGAAGGGTTACAATTAAGCAGCAATCTAGTTTTATGTATAGGTTTTATAATTTTCAATATTTTCATTCCGAGCATTAAGTCTGGCTTCTAACGTTGTTAAAGCTTGGCGGACGTATTCTTTTTCTAAAATTGCGAGGCTCACTTGTAGACATCTTCTCGCCAAATTCATGTCACCAGTAGACTAAAAACAAAACCAGTAACTAAGGTTACAATATTCGTTCGTTTAGCTTAATTAAAGGATTAGTTGTTAATATTTTTATCGCCTTCAGAATTGTTAAACCGTTTCGATAGAGGATGTAAAGAACCACTTTAGTCCTTAGAACTTATCAAAAAAAACAGCTCTGAAGTGATGATAACGATGTAGTTAAATTATACTAGTTACAGTTAAATTATGATGGACATTATATTAAAAATAGGGCGCCAAACCGTCAAAAACGTACCAAAGCTACATGTGCTAGATTAAACCAAATATCGGCCTTTGAACTAGGGCTTGTAGAAAAGAAGAGAGCTTGTCGAAAACATGGTAAAATGAGATCCCATTGACTACAGTAGAGACAGCATAAGCCAAGGTTGTTGTAAATCTCGGAACCTAGTGGAGTTGTTGCCAGCAAACGTCTGAAATATTTATTAAGTTAGATAGGTACTTACCAATTTTATATTTCATAATTATTAACAAACAACTTATGAACAAATAGTTACCTGTAATATCTCATTGCTATTTCGGGTTGGTCATTGTAGAAGTTGTGCATTGCGATACTCGCAACGGCCTCCATGTTGAAAGGGTCCTGTATAGCTACCATTCTGAAGTCTTTAACTGCCACAGCAGAGTTTCCCATCTGCTCATTGATTCTAGCTTGTTCCATTAATAAGGGCGTGCACTCAAGAAATACCGAAAGCCCTTGCTTACATATGTCCAGTGCTGATATAGGCTGGTCCAAAGCCACGTACATAGCTATCAATCGAAGATACACGCTTAAATGCCTATTTTGCTTCAGTGCACGACGTAGGCAGTCGTCGGCCTGTCTAAACATTCCCAGAGTGTAGTAGCATCTTGACAGGGAATGGTTCCACCACCAGTCCGAAGAATTGTCTCTCTTTTGTGCTTGAAATGCAACGTCCATAGCCTGTTTATGCCAAAAAAATTAACAAAGCTGTTAAAAGAATTAGATGATTATATAGTATATAAGTTACCTTGCTGTTTAAGCGGTTGATACCTTTTACAACATGACTTGATCAATGGTACAATGCTTACAAATTCTGTTGTTTACCTTTCGAACATCTCCTTCACAGTAATACACGTATTCAAATAAAGTTTTAGCAGCTGGTGAAAACGTCGTCTCCTCCTTGGATAGGAACCTGAGGGATATAGGCATATTGAGAGATGGGCCGCCAGCAAGGGCAGTGGCGGCTCGCGAGGCACGCCCCGCTGACCGCAACGCCGTCCTCGCGCTTTGAGCTCGCGCCGTCACCGCACTACCTCCGGGTTTCATAGTGGCAGCAGTGCTCACCCTTTTCTAAATTGAAAATAACATTGATAAGTACAAACATTATTGAGTACATCACCGCACTGCGAAACCTACATGAAATAATAGCACTTACGTTCGTTGATGTCTGATATGCTGTCCGAATTTGCCTATCGAATGTAGTACCAGGTCTCGGTGTTTTCGCTACGGCGGTAGAAGTCAACTCATCTTGATAAGTGAAGTAGTCAACCTCGTCGTAAGCGTTTGCTGCGACCTTCACTTGTATCGTCATCGCGCGCATCCGAATAAACTCTATCATACGATCATTTTTATCTTTTAACACTTCCTCACATAGTTTGAGACATTCATCATACTGTTTAATTTTATAAAGATATAATATTTTGTAATCGTCAGGTATTTCCATTTCGTTTCTACAAGGTTCAATTAAATTGCTAGGCAACGGAGTATGTAAACAAAAATCTCTACTTAACTAACTTTTCTTACAGTTACTACTTACTTCCTACAGTTAACCAATCAAATTATGTGTCATCCGAATAATTAAGTAAGCACATCTGATGAACCAGCACAAATACCATAAATATTTACTAACTATATAATATGAGGAATAAAATGTTGAGAAGTTTTTTATAGTAACATTTCTCTCAGCTCGTTTGTCTTATTTTGCATTTGCACCATTGAGTTAGAAATGTCGTAGATTTAACATAATGTACTTAACGGCACGTAAATAATCGCTATTTGAATTTCTTCACTTGCCAGTTGTTTTAAACCTTTTTTGTTCACTTTAAAATTGGCAAGATCATTACGAAACGATAAACAAAAAATAGCCGATGAGATGCTAGGTAGGTACCAATATAAGGTTTGCTTTTTTCTATCACCGAAATCATTTAGGATTATCTATCCGACACTAGAAATATCTGTTATTACCATGGCGTTAACTATTTTAATGTAGTTAGATTCTTGTTTTCCAAATGTATTCTACGATACCTTTTAATTACTTAGGTATTATTGAAATGTGTAAAATGATATCACATGTTGTACAATGGTGCCTACAAAAAAAAGTTTACGACTCCTGCAAAAGCTCCTATATAAACCAATGAAAAACAGATTTTTTTATTCAAGACAAAGCAGTCGAAACAAATATCAACCATGCTTCTATGGAGTTTAATGCTTTTGATATCTTTGAGTCATGTTTTGGCTGCAGAATCCTGGAAGAAACCTGGATGCCATAGAATAGGTATGATCTTTAAATTCTAGTCATTATTATTCGAAGTCAGCTCATGCATGTCTCCGCCGAGGATCTCAGAGTTCGCACCTAAGTAAGCAGGTGAGAAGGCCCTAGCTCCTTGCGGATTGGTAGCTATTATTATAACAGTGATTATGGTTGAAAAATTCCATGAATTTGAAATTAACGTTTCAGGTCATACAAGAAACATCAGCATTCCAGACTGCGTCGAGTTTAAAATAACTACAAACGCTTGCCGTGGCTTCTGCGAGTCTTGGTCGCTGCCAAGTATCATGCTGGGGTTTAAGAGGCATCCAGTCACATCCCTGGGACAGTGCTGTAATATTATGGAGTCTGAAGACGTAAGTTGCAATTTCACGTGGTTAGCGTGGGCATAGTATGCATACATTTCATCATCTCCCCTGCCTTATCCTACTCTCCTAGGGTCGGCGCACCGGGTTTCCGTCACTCTATCATCCGTCATCTCAGTCATCACTCCCTTCTTTAACATGTCACCTTTCACGCAATCCATCCATCTCTTTCTAGGTCTACCTCTACCGATGTACCCCTCCACATACATAAGTAACGTCCGTCTTGTTACATGCCATTCATCCCTTCTCGTAACATGCCCATACCACTCTAACCTTTTACTTCTTATTTTCTCAACCACTGGGGCTACTCTCAAACTTCCTCAAATAGACTCATTTCGTATCTTATCCAATCGTGTTACCCCACACATCCATCTTAACATTCGCATTTCCGCCACATGTATCCTCCTTTCATCCGTCGCTTTTACTGCCCAACATTCAGATCCATACATCATGACAGGTCTTACGACGGTTTTGTAAATTTTCCCCTTTATTATAAGATACATTTATTGCAATTAATTGTTTTATTTCAGGTTCCAGTAAAAGTTCTCTGCTTAGATGGCGAAAGAAATTTAATATTTAAATCGGCTATATCCTGCGCCTGCTACCATTGTCAAAAGGAATAATTTAATTTCGGAAGATTCTTATAAAAGTCCTTATGAAAATCATTTAAATATATACTGTTATCTGTTAACTTCCTAACATGTTATGAATTAGTGCAAAGGTTAAAAGTGTAACATACATGTAATTTTATAATAACGAGATGTATTATTAAATTATAAGAAATAAAGACAAACTAAGTTGTAATATTTTCAGTTTATTTATTATGATACCATACCATTTATAGATTCTCACTAATAGAGAGTTTTACCTACCAATAAAACTTACCTATTATTTTTCCTTGAGATATCCGGAATCCATCTTGAGTGTAGCCTTCCGTTTTCCTTGTGTTTGCTAGTCAAGCGAGTCCCTCTCTTATGTCAGTGGCGCCACCTAGCGCCCGATGTGTCAACTTCCCCCTGAGGCGCTCAGTCGCCAGCTCAGGGCTCGAGTTGCTTTCTTTCGTCATTATGCGGCGTAAGTACCAGGTAGGAGTTATCTGGATTCCGGATATCTCAAGGAAAAATAATAGGTAAGTTTTATTGGTAGGTAAAACTCTCTATTATTTGTTCCGTCATCGATATCCGGAATCCATCTTGAGTGAAACGTTTGATTTCTCCTGGTACAAAACTTATATTGATGCTATAATGTGTAATGTTAGATTAGGTATGTGAAAATTACTTAATACAGATATGTAGAAGAAACCACAATAGGTAAAAATTATATTATTTGTAGTAATTAAATTAATATTAATAATCAAATCCATTATACTGATTTGAAATATTTTGACAGGGAAACCTTTAAGTTACATGTCTTCCTTTCCATGTCTTTAATCTGCCTGTGATAATATGTTCTAAATGTATGTTCTTGCTTCCAATTGCCAGTGGAGAGTATCTGGTCCATTGTGTAATTCTCTATCCAATTTAATGACGAGACTGCTGAACGAACGGAACCTGGAGGTGCCTCCACGCCTGCTTCTCGCAGCACATTCTTAACCCATCCTCCAATCATAGTTCTCGTGGCTGGCTTAGACACTCCTCTTGTTGAAATGAATAATTCCTTCCAGTCTCCTTCACGACGTCGCTGCTCTGATACTTTTAATAATATACGAATCCAATATAAAATATTTAAATTTAATTCTGGATGTGGCTCTAAACGCCAGCCCGACTGCCTATGTTCAGCCGTATCTGTTTTTGAACCAAAGTCCGGCCACAAAATCAAAGAATCTCCTTCATCCATTAGGTGCTCCGGCCCGATTTTAAGGAGGGTGAGGTCGTGTACTCGCCGACCCGATGCAAGCAAAAGCAAAATTGCGACTCTTCTCGAAACTTGATATAAATTCTGTTCATCTGAATTTTTAGAAATAAGATAATCTAAAACAGTTTTAGGATTCCAAATAGGCGGTTTAGAATTTTTAAGTTTTGCAACTGAAATAGCTTTTAGAGTTTGCCTGACTAAAAAATTGGATGACACATCTTGATTGTTAGATTTTGCAAGCGTAGAAATAGCAGATTTATGAACCAATATTGTCCGGTATGCTAGGCCCTCAGTATTATGGAGATAAGCCAAATACCTGGCGACTACCGACGGCTCTGCACATCTGAAGTCAAGAGACTGCTGTGAACACCAACTCTTCCACTTGCTCCATGCTGCCATGTAGGTTTTCATCGTAGATTTCCTCCAGCTACTTAGTATTAGTAATAAGGCTTTTTCTTCAGTTGTCCAATCTGCTACAAGATCCGCCCACCTTGTATCAGCCATGCCTCCAAGGATATGTTGCGAATATCCGGGGGATGGCGTCCCGTTCTCGTATCGATCAATACCCGTGGTAGGTCCTGTATTCGGTACGGCGTTAGACCTGTTCTTTGTTGTATGTCTGCTCTCCAGAAGGCTTTTTCCCAGCACGGAGCTATAAGGATGTATTGACCGCTGGCTGTATTGAGATGTGCTAGCACCTGAGGTATAAGATTTGGTGGTGGAAATAACCATCCGAGGTGGTAATTCCAACGTCTGAGAAAGGCATTGTGAAATAGAGCTTGTCTGTCCTCTAGGTCTACCGAAATATAATCCGGCACTACATGAGCGGTCCTGGAGGCAAATAGGTCTACCTCCGGAGTACCCCACTTCTCGAAAATTTTCCTCGTCGCTGCTGGAAGAAGGTGCCATTCTGGGTTCCTCTTGTTGCGAGATAGTGCATCCACCTCCATGTTGTAACGACCTGGAAGGAACTTTGCCGTTAAAATCACCTCTTGACTGTCCAAGAGTTCCAGGAGCCGACGTGTCAGGTGCAGGAGCTTCTTCGACTTCGTTCCTCCCTCTTTGTTGATGTAGGCCATGACTGTGCAATTGTCTGTCTGCAATAGGACGTGCGAGTTCTTCAATAGGTGTTGGTTTTGTGAGATTGCAGCATGAACGGCGTAAAGTTCCTTGCAGTTGACATGCCAAGACTTCTGGGCTTCTGTCCAGAGTCCAGACATTTTTATCTGTCCTAGTTGGGCTCCCCATCCTATCTCGGATGCATCGGTCGTCAGCAGAAATGCAATTGGTTCCGCATGCAGTGGTGACGAGCTGGACACTGCCTTCATCCACCATCTCATCTCGACAAGAGCCGGTTCCGGTATTGTGAACTGTCGGCGCGGTTGAGATGTTGGGAGATGCCGACTGTGGTATTGTATTGTGCGACAATGTAGCCTCCCTCTGCGGACGACAAACGAGGCGAAACTGAGTCTTCCCATTAGGGACTGGGCCTGTCTGAGAGACCACTTGCCAAGCGAAATCTGTTTTTGTAATGCACTGCGTAGCGTTTGGCATTTTGGTTCGGACAGAGATTTGGAATTGGCCAGTGTATCCCAAGTGACGCCTAGAAATTCTAGACGTCGGGTCGGAACCAAAACAGATTTGCTGAAGTTGACTTTCCATCCTAGGTGTTGCAGCAGCTGTATTACAGATGCCACCTGTTCCTGGAGAGTCTCGAAGGATTGATTGGCTAGCAAGAAATCGTCGAGATATACCACGCAGCGAATGTTTTGTTTCCTTAGATGTTCTGCGATCCAGTTGGTAACAGTTGCAAAAAGTCCCGGAGCTGACGACAGTCCGAATGGAAGACAGGTCATTTGGTACAGCGTCCCGTTGTAACTGGCTCTGAGGAATCTGCGATGCTGAGGGTGTATTGGTAAATGATAGTAAGCCTGGCTTATATCCAGTTTCACCATCCAGTCCTTTTCCTGTAAAAATGTGGGTACACGAAAATGGCTGAACAGACGGAATCTCCGAATTTTCACAAAGCTGTTTAATTGCCTCAGGTTGAAAATTGGGCGATAAGTCCCATCCTGCTTGGGTATTAGGAAAAACTTTGATAAATAACTCGGAGAAATCTCCGCCTCTTCGAGAATTTGGTCTCGAACCATAGCGTTTATCTGTTCCGACATTAGAATTGATTTGTTCGTAGCATATTTCGCAAGGACTATGTTGCTCGGGTACAATAGTGGCGGCCTTAGTATAAAGGGGATACGAATCCCGTCTAACATTTTGTATATTTCGTTGGGTGCCCCCAGATTGCGCCAAATATGTTGATATTGTACCAGACAGCCGCCACGAAAGGGCCTCGAGTCATGCTCGGCGTTGTCGATTCCTAGGTGGAGAGCGGGAGCGAGGTGGCTTAACTTGAGGTTGTCGTTGCTTAATACCGGAACCTTT